GGTCATTTTCATCAAAGAAGGCTAGGTAACCATCCAAAAGTTTGAACACATCAGCCATGCCTTTCATCATGAGAACTTGGGGGGAGGGCCTTTCATTTTCTTCCATGGGCTCTTCCTCTTCATGGCGCTCCCTATCCAGTTCAAGAAAATCCTTGTTTGAGAGTTCCTCCCTATGGGAATCGAAAAGCTCAGCCACGTTTTCCTGGTCGACCTGCTCAAAGCCCACACTCTTAGCCATTTCAACAATCTCATGTCTTGCATCGCTGATAAATTTGTCAGCAGCAAAGCCTCAGAAATCATTCACAACAGCAGGCCAGATATTTTTTCAGACACCATTAAGGAACTGCTGCATAACATTATTCCAGGCACCTCTGATGATGTTTATGGCCCTCTTGATGTTAAATTTCTTTCAAAATTCTTTGACATTTGTCTTTTCCTTTGACTCTGTCTCATTGATAAGCTTTTTGAAGGTCCTCCATAGATAATAGCTCTTGAAAGCTTGAATAACGGCCTGATCCATTTACTGGATCAGCGATGTTGTATTTGGTGGCAAGAACAGCACCTTAATGTTCTCACTGAGGTCACCAAGGTTTGGGGGATGTCCTGGAGCATTATCAAGAAGCAGTAGAATTTTGAAAGGCAGATTTTGCCCGTCACAATAAGCCCTCAATTCCAAATGCAGCAGACTGGAAAAATAACCTTCAAACAACGATCCAGCAACCCATCCTTTCTGGTTGGCTCTCCAATAAACAGGCAGATGTCCTTTTGCATAAAACTTAAGTGCCCGAGGGTTTTCAGTATGGTAAACCATCAACGGTTTGAGCTTGAAGTCGCCAGCTGTGTTCACTCCGAGCAGCAGTGTGCTGCGATCCTTCACGGCCATGAACCCTGGGGCGGTTTTCTCCTTGACCGAGATAAACATTCGACTCAGAATCCATTTCCTGAAGAGTCTGGTTTTGTCCAAGTTGAAAACTTGCCTCGGATTGTAGGTTCCTTCCTCAATGGCAATCTGTAGGATTGAAGGAAATTTATCTGCAGCACTTTTATCAGCAGCTGCTGCTTCGCCCATCAGTTTGAGATTGTGGCATCCATGCCATGCTTTAAATCTATCAAACCATCAGGCACTTGCATTAAATGGCTTGGCTTCAGGATCATCATGTTTTAACACTTCATAAATGCTGCATGCCTTTGTTTGAATCACCTGGGTTGAAAACAGCACGTGTTCCTGATGCTGGTGCTCAATACATGTTGTCAACTTGCATTCCATTTTCTCCGTGATAGCCAACCTTGCTAATGAAACACGGGCAGCAGATAAATGTGTAGCACTCTTACAGGACTCCTTAAGTTTCTCCGCATTGTCCCTAATTGTACAGAGAGTTGACTCACTGAGCCCTGTAGCACACCTAATTTCCTTTGTCTTCTCACCTTTTTCATATCTCTTCACAACTTCAAGTTTTTCTTCCAAAGTTATAGCTTTTCTTTTCCTTGTAAAGGTGGAAGCACTTGTGGAATCGCTATTAGAAGCACTCATATTGAACACTTAATGAATGCTGCTACCACAATGGCAACACTGAGACTGAGTGAGCCCCCAGAATCCTGCTTGGAAACCCAAGCTGCACATAACTCCATTTGACTCAGTCTGCGCATCTTGCAAGGTGTTCATGTATATATGCGAATGACACGCATCTCGGGGTGTATTTTTCTGTTTGGGTGTTAATATTAATTCACATAAACGTGAGACATGGGTAAGTCAAACACATGTAAAACGGGGGTTTCCTGTATTTTAACTTCTTCTATTCTTCTAATACAAGGCATGTTCAAAAAGAAAAGGGAGCACCTTATTCTAAATTGATCGCTGAAATGGGGGCATATAATAAAGAGCAGTAGTGACAAGGCAAAAACCTTGAAAATTAAAAACCAGCTTAGGAAATGTGAAGAACCCCCCACCCACTCCAATCAATGGAGACATCCACAGTGAAATTAGACAAGCACCCATCTGCCCTGGCATTGGACAATCCTTTCACAATGGAAGAAACCACTTACAAGAGAGGCAGCATATGGCAAACAATTGTGCATTAGAATGACCAAGCCCTTATTCTATAGCAGGAATAGCACAGATAATGGAAGTTTATCCTACAGCTTGTCTCCCTCCTGTTCCTCACGGATTTACTGATCAGAGTGCTAACTCATGCCTACTGTTGTATTTTTTGAGATACCTAGATCTGTCCAACAAGAACTGGACTAAAATGATAGTTTCCTTGTTAGTTACCAAAGAGAGAAATTGTGATTGAACAACTTTCTCCTGGTTCAGGTTGGTGAAAAGATAGATTGCCTTAGCCACCTCTTGAGAGTTCCTGCCTCACTCCATGTGACACTCAAGATGCTTACGCAGGACTCTGGATATCATTAATGCTTATCCTAACCTAGAATCTTAATGGCCTGTATAAGGAAAGGGCTATCGTAAGAAAGGGGTGCGCTTACGAAGCACTATTTTTCCATTTGTAAAAAATATTTCATAAGTCAGGAGGTGCTAGTTGGGCAACTGAAATAAAGTTGGGAGGGAGTGACTCAGTCTTCTGGAACCAGCAGAGACTCTCATCATGATTATGCAAAAATCACTAGACCTCACACTATGCACTAGAAGTCACAAGCAACTGTATGACTGGCAGGATGGACAAATGAGGCCACTGTTTAGCTGAGCATGAAAAACCCAGCCTATACATGAGGATTCTTGCTCCTATTCTTCACCTAGATTAAGGCAATAATCTCAGCTGACAGGCCACTTAAGATGTTTTGGTGAGCTGTTGAAGGCTGTGCACACAAAATCTTTTAGAAGATATTTTTTTTTTTTTACAAATTACAGATAAAAACATATCATATACTAAAAATCAAATATCTACTATAACGTATTTTTATTTCCAAAAAATAATTGTTGTTGTGATTAATTTTTTTTTTCAGTAATGTATATAGATGTGATTACATAATACCCCAAAATAAAGTCTTACTCTTGTATATTGTGTGTGGAAGGGGATGGGGGCGGTGGGGTGAGCCATGGGCCAAATACAATTAATTGGCAGGCTGTATTCAGCTCACAGTGCGTATTTTGCCCATCCCTGACCTAGATCCTCCAAACACAGGTAGCTAGAACACTACAGGCCACCATCAATCTCAAATGCTTTTTTGAGCCAAGAACCTCGTCACATACCTATCAAACCCAGCAGTCTTTCCTGCCCAAGTGCAGGGGGTTGGACCCAATGACTGTGTGAGGTCCCTTCCAGCACACTGGAGTTTGCTGGTAATGAAGGTAGTCAGGGGACCACTATTCTTTGCTGGAGACTGCTGAGTTGGATGTTGAGTACAGATTTGGGAGGTAGCACCTTATCTACACAAGTCCCTATCCAGCTACTCAAGTTGGCAGGACAAAGAAAGCTGATTTTGTTAAATGTTATGATAGTGGACCCTCTCTTGCACTTATTTTTCCATGCCACATGTTGTACAGCTATTTAGAAATGTGCAAATGTCTCAAGTTGAACAGGACAGGAAACCGTCATAAATCTGGGGTGGGAGAGATCAGCTTGTACTTGTGAGGTCAATGTCTGAACAACTTACTTCACACTCATTTCCTCAGCCAGCTTCCCCCCATGACTCATTATGTGATAGTGAACTTCTATGGGTAAGAAAAGTTTGATTGGTGGGGGGAGAGGGGCATTCTGGGGCTCTTAAGTCAGCTGTAGAACAACAGGGACCTTGGAGAAGGTTCATTAGGGTAAGAAATGAAAGCAAGGCTTCCCCCATTTCAGGTAAAAGCTCACATGCTCATTGCATTTAATTTGCTATCTTGCGCCCAACCTGTTAATGGGATAGCTTCTGGAGAAACAAAGAAAGAACAAAAAAAAACAAACAAACTTGTCCTAAAAATGGTTCTCCAAAAACTGAGTACTTCCTGTAACTAAGGCTTATCAGAATTTAAAATGGAATATCTATTTCACCATAACTCCCTATGTGATTACTCAGATTCCAGGCTAAGAGTGACTTTCTGCATTTTAGCTTAATCAAAAAGTTTATACAGATGCTCTCTGCAAAATGAGTTGCCCTACATAGTGTTAGTGCAGGATAATGATTACATTTTAAATGCACACCCTCGTTTACTCCACACTGACTTTCCTATGTAGACAAGTCCACAAGATAAGTCTAATTATCTTTAGGTGTGGCTGAATTCAGTTTAGTTTGTGCATTTGACAGTATTTTGCACTATCACACTCATCCTTGTATTGTAGATGTATAGCATGTGACCCCTGCTGGCACCATGGCATCTCTACCATAAGATTTCTTCCTGCCAAGGCACATTGTACTACAGGCCCTTCATTACATGCGTTTACCAGTAACAGCAGCTGCATGAGAAGAGAGAAAGGGAGTTTTGAGTTCCCCTGCCTATAGATGACAGCTCCCTCATGCCTGAAGAGCTCTGTAACCTTAGCTGTGAACTGCAGGAAATAATCACTATCACTTATTTGGCTAAAATGGCAGGATCACTAGTATAGACGAAGTGATGTCTATCTCCTGGTTAAGGGGGCTAATTTAGAGCAGCCCTGAATCCTGTGGATGCAAGGGAAAGTAAATGAACACAGACCTCAATTGTTGCTCATTTTAAAGTAGAATTTAAAACCGTTTCCATTACTGCTGTTTCCTTAGTGTAAGGCCAGGCTTAAGCAAAGCTAAGAAAGCTGTTGCTAACAGAAACAGTGGGTGGTTGGGGAAGTGTTTAGGGATATTAACCCACTTCAAGGTGTGGACAGTGCAGGTCAGAACTTGTTCTAATTTTACTTCCATGCCCCTGGCAGAAGGAGCTTAAGCACTTCTTTCATTTAAAAATTTTGTTTCGCAGTCTGGCTGCAGCATGAGGTCCCTCTGTGCCTCTTGCCTCCCAAGTCAAACCACAGCCCACTCCCTGCCTCTTGCCTCCCAAGTCAAACCACAGCCTGTGAGGCAGAGCTCCATGGTCTAGTTCTTGACTATGCAAGTCAGCAAGTGGGTCAGCACCAATAAGCAAATTCACCTGTCAAAGGGTGAGTTAATGAAGAGCACAACCAGCCCTCAGAAAGCTGGTGAAAAAGGGTGCCTCTGATCCACCTGTCAATGTACCTCTGCAACAAGAAAGCAACACTAATCAGCGAAGCCCTTCCTTTCCTTCTGGCTCTGTTATTCACCTAGCTCAAATCCAAGCTGACAGCGTGAAAAGCTTCCAAAGCACATACAGAAATCCAGCTTGACAGTTTCCAACTCTACTTAAAAGTTACCTCACCCCAGCACAGGGGCTGACTGAAACATGCATTGAGGGAGGATGCTTGCAGAGATAGGAGTGTTCGTCAGGCATGAACTGTTCCAAACTATTTCATTTTCACCTGCTTCAACTTAAATGTGGAAGAAATTATACAAAGAGACAGTTACTCCATGTCTGATTCCCAAGAACAGCTTCAACAATGTCAGGAACAGACCTAAGGAAATCGTACAAAAACCCCAAACAAAATAATCTACTGGGAACAGGCTTTTCTCCTCCTGGGCACAGCAGCTGTAGAAGGTAGTGGACACAGAACTGTGTGTTGCAGAGCAACTGCTTTGTTTAATGACCTGCCAATGAAGAGATGTAGAGATCTACAGTGTAAGGCTTTTGAAAGCTCAGGTATATTCAGAAGAGCACAGTTCTGCTCTTTTACACCATCCAACTATAGAGCCTCTTCAGCCACAGCTTCCTGGGCAAGTTGTCTAGAGAACTAGGTTCAGCCAGTGCACAGCTGACAAAAGGAAAAGTCAAGGTGGACTATTAGCTGAAAAGAGCAGTGAGTAAAATTAAAATCCTTAAAGGACTGTACAGAATCTCCCTTTCCCTCAATCTGACTAGACACAGCTGGAACATCTCCTTTTGGTATACAACTGAGAGGCATTAAATAAACAAGCCTGTAGATGTCATTTGTTCAGTCCACAGCTTCTGCAGGAGACATTTCTCCTGTCTGGGATGACTGCACTGATCTCAGAAGCTTGTGCAGCAAAGAAACATCTGGAAGTGGATTTACATATTTAAAAAAAAAAAAAAAAAAAGTCAGAATGGGGAAAAGATTAATTCAAGCACATGAAACAGGATAGAAAGTTCTGTTTTGACCAAGACAAAAATCAAATTTCAGATCACAGTAATAGAGACCACACTGTGTAGAGTAGCGAATGTACAGCACGAGCCACACAGGCATAGCAAGTCACACTCTTTTAAAAGAGATTCTCCTCCACATAAAAATCCTAGGTAAAGTTATTTGGATGATTCAGGTATCTCAAGGACACAAACTGTGACAAAGGTATCAGCTCTTCCTTTGATGGCTGCGCTTCCCATGGATGTTGGTTCTACAAATGTCTCTCAAAGTACACTAATTAGAGAGGACTAGCAGAATCTGGCAGCAACACATGAAACATGAAAGGGGATAGGGTACAAAAAAGAACCAAAAGAGTGGTCACATTATTAAGAACGGGTAGTGTTGTTTTTAAATCAGTAAGCCTGTATCCTTCCCCTTAGAGCACAATTCCAGACAGGAAGAACGGTCCTGCTTATTTACTAAACTAGAATGTTTTATTTAAAGTCTTTATCTATAAAAACATACCTATCCAAAGTAATTGAAGTTTTTAGTATTAGAAAAATCTCAGTATTAGAAAAAACCCCCAAAAAAGATGACAGACTGAAGTGCCAAACTGCAGTGTGATGGACATTTTTCTCATCCTCAGTTTTTGAAGCTGTAGGACAGGCCAAAAGTGGGTTTGGTACCAGGAAGGGGTGGAGAATGCCAGACAGCAGAGCTTGTACGTTTGAAGTACCGTGGCTTGTTCTTGTAGAAAATGTCCTCCAGTTTGGGGCTTGCAATAACTCCAAAGAGCAAGTCAGTATTTGGAGGGTTGTAGTACTGGTATGTAACAGCTTGATTAAGCTGAGACCCTGGGAAAATAACCACCAAGTTATGTGAGCAGATTTATAGGCAACAGGTCAGGTTTCTGCTTAAATTACAGTCTCTCAGAACTTCTGTAAATCACAAGCTATCATATGAAGCCAAAAAGGCTAGGAGCAATCCTCCTCCCTCTAGGCCCTGCCTGTCCTAGAATAGGCTTAGTGTGGGCATGTTCAGTACTAAATCCTTTTGATCTGGAAAGCACTTCACCCCTTTTTATGCAAAACCAATTGCAGTTCAGTGTGAGGATGGCTATCTAAAAAACACTCTTCACATTACAGGTATCCCAAGCACTTTTCCTCTTCTAGCAACTAGCCTATGATGATTCGAACCTTCTTTTGTTGGATACTGTAGATCTTTATCTTAAGACAAGGTGTCAGAGGATTTTGTAGTAGTATCAAATTGACAGCACTTAACAGACTAGCTCCTCCAGCACCACAGCAGTGATGTCTCATGCACTCTCCTGAACTAGGAAAGAAGCCCAAAGTCTAAGTGAGACATACCTGGAGTCTCCTGCATTCAAAGATAAAACTGTACTACCAGTATAACAAAGTTAGTACTTACCATTGGCCCAGGTGGGGATGGGCTTACGGGGCTGGCTTTCATCATCTGTGGAGTCATCGCTGTTCAGATCCATCCCATAATTATTTGGATTTACCTTGGGGAACTTGGATTCTTTTGGGCCCTTCATTGGCCCTCGGCAAGAGCTGGAGGCAGAGGTCTGAAACCACACAAAATGTAAGTTATGTTACCCTGGTACTTCTCTCTGAAGGTGGTGATGGGACAAATTAGATTGACAGAAATTAGTAATGCGTTTTAGCTATTGTTTGTTTATGGGGGAAACATCCCAAAGTTGTAGGAATAGCAGATTTACACTGTATATTTAAAAATTGCTGCCAACACCAGTAACAAGTTATTAATGCCTAGACATTATTACTGTTAATGCACCACTGGGTGTGACCCACAAATTACTAGTATGCTTTCAATTATGATGGGCAGGCCAATAAATTACATTTGACATGACCTGTCACCATTTGTTTTCCATAGTTCAGTTCTGTTCACTTTAGTGTAACATACGTGGCACAACACCAGCCAATTCAGTCCCAAGTCCAAGAACTTTTAAAGAAACCTTACTGAGGGTACAGGAACAAACCATCCTGATGTGCAGGAAGACTAGCAAATGTGGCAGGGAAACAGCTTGGCTTAGCAGAAAACTCTTCAGTGACCTTAAACACAAAAAGAAAGCTTACAAGAAGCGGAAGCTTGGACAGATGACTAGGGAGGATTGTAAGAATATTGCTCGGGCACGCAGGGAGGAAATAAGGAAAACCAAAGTGCAACTGGAGTTGCAGCTAGCAAGGGACATGAAAGGTAACTATAAGGGTTTCTACAAGTACATTAGCAACAAAAGAAAGGTCAGGGAAAGTGTGGGTCCTTTACTGAATGCAGGGAGGCAACCTAATGATAGGCGATGAGGAAAAGGCTGAAGTACTCAACGCCTTTCTTACTTTGGTCTTCACAGGCAAGGTCAGTTCCTAGATTACTGCACCTGGCAGCACAGTTTGGGGAGGTGGGCAACCCTTTGTGGCAAAAAAAAAAAAAAAAAAAAAAAAAAAAACCAGGTTAAAGGACTATTTAGAAAAACCTGGATGTGAACAAGTCCATGGGGCTGGATACAGTGCATCCAAGAGTGGCTGATGACTGTAGAGCTGTTGGCCGTTAGCTTTGAAAACACTTTGTGATCGGAGGAGGTCCCAGACGATTGGAAAAGAGTAAATATAGTACACATCTTTAAGAGAGTGAAGAAGGAGGATCCAGGGAACTACAGACCAGTCAGCTTCACTTTAGTCCCCAGAAAAATCATGAAGCAGGTCCTAAAGGAATCCATTTCTAACCACTTGGAGGAAAAGAAAGTGCTCAGGAACAATCAGCACAGATTCACCAAGGGCAAGTCATGCCTGATCAACTGGATTGCTTACTATGATCAGAAGACTGTCTCTGTGGATATGAGGAAAGCAGTGGTTGTGATATAACTTGACTTTAGCAAGGCTTCTGGTACAGTTCCCTACAGCATTCTTGCAAGCAAGATGAGGATGCATGGGTTGGACAAATGGGTTGTAAGGTAGAGAGAAAGCTAGCTGGATCGTCGGGATCAGTGGGTAGTGATCAATGGCTCGTATCAAATGGAGTGCCTCAGGGGTCAGTCCTGGAGCTGGTTTTTTTCCCCAATATTTTAATTAACTATCTGGAAGATGGGATGGAGTGCTCCCTCAGCAAGTCTGAAGATGATGCCAAGCTAGGGGGAGCAGTAAGTATACTGGAGGGCAGGGCTAGGATTCAGAGGGACCTAGACAAATTGGAGAATTGGGCCACAAGAAATCTCATGAGGTTCAACAAGGACAAGTACAAAATCCTGCACTTAGGATGGATCAATCCCATACACCACTACAGGCTTGGGACAAACTGGTTAAACAGCAGCTCTTTCTGCAGAAAAGGACCATGGGGTTACAGTGGACAATAAGCTGGATACGAGTCAACAGTGTGCCTTTGTTGTCAAGAAGGCTAACAGCATACTGAGCTGCATTAGTAGAAGCGTTGCCAGCGGATGGAGGGAAGTAATTCTTCCCCTCTATTTAGCATGGGTGAGTCCACATCTGGAGCACTGTGTCTAGTTTTGGGGCCCCCCACTATAGAAAGGATGTGTACAAGTTGGAGAGAGTCCAGCTGAGGGCAACAAGAATGGCTAGAAGGCTGGGGAACATGACTTCTGAGGAGAGGCTGAGGTAACTGGGTTTATTTAGTCTGCAAAAGAGAAGACTGAGGAGGGATTTGACAGTAGCCTTTAACTACCTGAAGGCAGGTTCCATAGGGGATGGAGTTAGATTGTTCTCAATGGTGGCAGATAACAGACTAAGGAGCAATGGTCTCAAATTGCCGCAAGGGAAGTTTAGGTTGGATATTAGGAAAAACTCCCACTAGGCAGATGGTGAAGCAATGGAATGGGTTATCTTGAGAGATTGTGGAATCTCTGTCCTCGGAGGCTTTTAAGGCCCGGCTCAACAAAGCTGGGATGATCTAGTTGGGGATGGTTCTGCTTTGAACAGAGGCTAGACTAGATGACCTCCCAAGGTCCCTTCCAACCCTAATTTTCTATGATTCTGTGACTTGAAAGTACAACCATTCCTGTAGCAGCCTTGAAGGCACTGAGCAGGCTTATCTCTCCATGAGGAAAAAATGCAGGAGTGCTTTTCTTCCTGCTTTGAAAATAACCTTATTGATGTCAGCATTTAATGAGCTGTATATATGCTGAGACCTTATTAAGAAGATAATGAGTCCCTACACTCAGCTGGATTATTTTTTTTCAGGGTAATTATAGGACAGCAAATACCTGACACTGGTTAGGACTCAGATAAATGAAGCAAGTGATATTGTGTACAGCAGTTCCATAGCTTAAAATACTACTTCACAGCAACCTGTTTCATTAATAAGAGAAGTCAGTCTTCAGTTCCTAAACTCTCCTTTTGCCATGTTTTTTTCCCCCCACTGTCAGTGCCAAAGCAGTCTACTTATCCCTTGCAAAAGATGGAAGTGCTGTATCATTTCACAAAGATGTTCTTCCTGGCACATCGAGTAGCTTTCTGTACCCTCACATGAAACTGTAAAGTAAAGCAGCAGAGCTTTAAATTGCTACAAATTATATCCTCTGTAGTTGCAGGGCAGTTGAAAGGTGCAAAGATGATTGTCCTAGCAGTGGCACCTACAAACCTGACTGCCTCTGAGATGTGTTAGTTCAATAACTTGCACTACTACTCTTAAAAGATCTTAAATTCCAAGCTAGCTTAGGTTTCAAAGATGAGACTTTACAAAAGGCTCTCCATACTCAAACATGAGCATAAATCTCCAGCTCTTAGTTCACAGAAACATACAAAATTAGGGTTGGAAGGGACCACAGGAGGTCAGCTAGTTAAACGGCCTGTTCAAAGGAGAACCATCCCCAACCAGATTATTCTAGTGAGGGCTTTGTTGAGCCAGGCCTTAAAAGCCTCCAAGGATGGTGATTCCATCACCTCCCTAGGTAACACATTCCAGTGCTTTACCACCCTTCTAGTGAGAGAATTTTTTTCCTAATATTCAACCTAAACTTCCGTTACTGCAACTTGAGACTATTGCTCTTTGTTCTGTCATCTGTAGTTCCCTGGTTCCTCCTCCTTCCCCTTCTTAAGGATATACACTATATTTGCCAATGGTCTGGGACCTCCTCCGATCACGAAGAGTTTTAAGAGATAATGGCCAGCAGCTCTACAATCACATCAGCCACTCTCTGATGCACCATATCCAGCCCCATGGACTTGTTCACGTTCATCTTTTCTAAATAGTCCCCAACTTGTTCTTTCAGCACCGAGGGCTGCTCACCTCCTCAAACTGCTCAGGTGCAGTAATCTGGGAACTGACCTTGCCTGTGAAGACCGAAGTAAGAAAGGCACCGAGCACTTCAGCCTTTTTCTCATCATTTTTCACTAGGCTGCCTTCCCCACATCCACTAAGGGACCCACACTTTCTCTGACCTTCCTTTTGTCACTAATGTAGAAACCCTTTACGTCCCTTGCTAGCTGCAACTCCAGTTGCACTTTGGCTTTTCTGATTTCCTCCCTGCATGCCCAAGCAATATTCTTATACTCCTCCCTAGTCACCTGTCCAAGCTTGCACTTCTTGTAAAAGCTTTCTTTTAGTGTTTAAGTTCACTGAAGAGTTCTCTGCTAAGCCAAGCTTGTCACCTGCTACATTTGCTAGCCTTCCTGCACATCAGGATGGTTTGTTCCTGTGCCCTTAGTAAGGTTTCTTTAAAATACAAGCAGCTCTCCTGTACTCCTTTCCCCCCTCAAACTGCCCTGCCAGGGGATCCTGCCCATCAGTTCCCTGAGGGAGTCAAAGCATGCTTTTTCAGAAATCCAGGGTCCATACTTGGCTGCTTTCCTTTCTTCCTTTTCTCAGGATCCTGAACTCAGTCATCTCATGGTCACTGCTGCTCAAGTTGCCATCCACTACTACATTCCCTACCCATTCTTCCCTGATTGTGAGCAGCAGATCAAGAAAAGCACGGCCCCTAGTTGACCTTTCCAATACTTGCACCAAGCACTTGTCTCTAATGCTCTCCAAAAGCTTCCTGGATTGCCTCTGCACAGTTGTACTGCCCTCCCAGCAGATGTCAGGGTGATTGAAGTCCCCCATGAGAACCTGTGATCTGGAAACTTTCACTTTTCAGCCCCCTCTGCAGCCCAGGGACCGCTCCGCCTGCCAGCAGCTCGCCCTCCCCTCCCTACTGCTAGGAAGGTGTGGTGTGTGCATGACATGGGGGGAGGGGCGGTTTACTTCGCCCTAAATTGAAGCGGTGGGTTTAAAAACCCATCGCTTCAATTTCAGGCCCCCGTTTAGTCTACACATGCCCTAAGGTGGGAGCAGAGCTCCTGTTTTGGGAGTCAAGAGTTGGGCATCTGCACACAATGTCTGGTCCAGCAAATTTGGTGCTTGGAGGATCATCAACTCAATGCTAGTAACACTGGCTTCAGCAACTAAGCTGGCATTTGTGCAGTGATCTTCCTAGTTGATGTAGAGGATTTTCTGGAGGCATTGTTGGCAAGACCTCTCCAAGTTCCTGAGGTAACAACAGTAGGTCACTTTGTTTCATATCCATAAAGGAGAATGGGGATGATGGCCATATTGTAGCCCTGAATATTGGTGTTTTTTCAAGAGATCAAGAATAAAAATACTCCAGAGCAGGTTCCCAAAGGATCTGCTTGTGCACTGTGTACTTTCAAGTGACAGGAAGAGCACCAAAAGCAAACATGCTTATATTGTAAGATTGGTGAAGCTTACTTGTGTGGAGCTCTAAATACCACTGAGTCCAAGTTAGGGAGATAGGTGGAAGGACAAATCAACTTTTGATCTGCTCCTTCAACCTTACACCCACACAGAAGTGGATTCCTCACACCTCCTTCTTATAGCCTCTTGAGTGCTCCTGTTCTGCAACATAATTCTCTTAAAAATCAGATGCCTCTACAGGGCTTCTCACAACCAGATATTGCTTCAAAAGTCCATGCTTTGACAAACCCTGGGAAGGAACCATCCAACCAGTGAGTTGTACATCTTCCCCACCAAAAAGGGGTTTTGTGTCGGTCATGTTTCATAGTAGTTAGGGGTCAGAAGGGACCTAAATAGATCATCTAATCTGACCCCCACTCCACTGACCAGAGCACACACTGAGATAACACAACCCCAGACAGGTGTTCATCCAACCTCTTTTTGAATTTACCCAAGATAGGAGCGAGGATCACTTCCCTAGGAAGTTGGTTCCAGATCCTAGCCACCCTAACAGTGAAATAGTACCTCCTAATCTCTAACCTGAACCTATTCTCCAGCAGCTCCTGGCCATTGTTCCTCGTCACCCCAGGTGCCGCTGGGGGGGAACAGGACCCTTCCTATTTGCTGCTGATCTCCCCTAATGAGTTTGTAGCCAGCCACCAAATCTCCCCTCAGCCTCCGTTTGCTGAGGCTGAACAGGTTCAGGTCCTCAGCCTCTCCTCATAACCTGTTAAATACATAAATGATTTCAGAAGCCACCTATTTACTTTCCTAATCACTTCTTGCTTTCTACCTCTGTTGCGGCACCTACACATTATTCCTATCTGGCACTGATTAATCAATTCATAAGCAGAAACTTCCATTTCTCATCTGCTCAATCTCTTACTTCTTCTTTCCACTTGTCAACCTGTCCCAACCCATTTGATGCCTGGACTGTGAGCTGTGGGGGCAAAGGGTATCTTTTCTGTTTGTAGAGTGTGTTCTGAGATTGGGATTCCAGAGCATGACCATAACACATTTTAAACATCCAGATCATGCATTCCTGTAAGCCCAGCACCTAGTCTTTTTTATTAAATGAGACCTCCTATCTGCCGCAAGAAAATTCCACGTGCAAGTTCAAAAAACTTATTTGCTACATTTTACAGATCAAAAGAAGAGGAGAATCTGAAAACTAGTCTGTTATTTCTGTGGAGCTGCTCAGGCACTCTACTCAAGATTAGGACTCCACTGTGGTTTTGGGTGGGACTGTTAGAAAACAATTTCTACTATACAGAAGTTGCACAGTAAAATAAGAAAAAAAAACAACTATGGAAAGTAGACAGTCCACAGCACAGGCATATTTGAAGTAATCATGCATACTTGCCTCTTCCAACCTATCCCTTCTTGCAAGCATCATTGGAGGTGAGAGACAAACATTTTCCAGGTATGATGGCCTTTCCAGGGCAAGTACCACTCAACTCTCTCTTTTACCCTATGAAAGGGCATTGCTTTCCTTCAACTCCTGCTTACGGTTTGGATTTAAAAACATGAGTGCTTGAGGAAAAGAATGAATCAAGAAGCAGGGGAGGAAAAAAAAATTATAGTAGTAAGTGTTTAGTGGCACATGCAGGATCTGGTGGCTTGTAAAAAGGCCAAGTGATTACATAATATCTGACAGTTGCAAAACACATCTTGGGGTTGAAACCCCAATGGTTGTGGTTTCTGAGGCTCACCATGGAAGAATCTCAAACACTGCACCACTAGCTGCCAAGTTCCTTCATGATCTGGTGCCATCAAGTGGTCTTGTTTGAAACTAGCACTTGTTTGCAACTACTGCACGTTGGGCACTTTTACAAAGTGCTCTGACACATTCTGATTAGAATGAGTCGGAACAGACTCAATTAAATAAACAGTCTGCTGGAGCATTCTAATCAGTGTCCCTGTATTTCTAAGAGGCAATAAGGGTGCTTTAACTAAAGCATGAAGGACACATGCTCCCAGAGGCTGGGGGGAGGCACGGCAACTGCCCACAGGCGGCAGAGTGGGGAGCTACCACAGGCGGTTGTAGTGATGTTGGTGGCGGGGGGGTCGGGGGGAAATGGCGAGCTCTGACCAGTGGTCAGTAACCACCCACAGACATTGCTGGCAGCATCAGCAGCAGCCAGTGGCAAAAACAGGAGACTGCCTGCAGGTGCCGCTGGCAGCGTCAGCAGCAGCCAATCACAGGGGGTGCACATGTGTTCAACAAGCGCCCTTACTACGATTTTGAAACATGGGATGCTCAACACAGAGATGCTGTGGGCCTTTTAATTAGAATGGCTCCCAAGCCATGCTACTTAAAAACACCCCACCTCCCTCCAGAGCACATGTATAGATGCTCGTTAATTATTTATTTTCAAGCGTTCCCAGTTTTTTCTATTTATTCATCTAGGAGAACCATAGAGTTTAAGGCCTGAGGGACCATCAGATTACCTAGTCTTATCTCCTTCCGATTAGAGGCCATTAACATTTCACCTAGTTACATATGTATTAAGTCCACTATCTTGGTTTGTGACTAAGGTATCTCTGGAAAGAACTCTGGTCTTGATTTAAAGAGATGAGATGGATAATCTATAACTTTTTGGGACTATATTCTATTGGTTAATCCCCATACTGTTAAACTGCTCTGCCTGATTTAATCTATTTGGCTTCAGCCTTTAAATTCTTGTTATGTCTTTTTCCACAAGATTTAAAAAAAAAAAAGTCATCTAGTACCTGATATTCTCTCCACAGCTGTTTATAACTCACTCATCAAGTCAGTAGTCAATTTTCTTTTTGACAAGTCTAACAAATCTAGCACTTTCTCTCCCCCTCCCTTCTTGCCTCCCTGCAAGGCATTCTTATAGCCCTCAAATTACTTCTGGGGTGCTTTTATTATCCCTACCATCTGTGTGTCTTGTTCTTCTTCAAAGGCAGGCCTCTGTGGGACTAGGAACCAAGTGTCTACTGGGCTTTTATTTCCTCAGATTCATCTCACTGGGTTCTAAAGAAACCACACTCACCTTCATCACTATGTTTAGCAACTTAGTGGAAGCAACGACAATCGATCCTGGTTGCTCGATTTTCTTCTCCTGCCACTGCTGCTGTTCCAGCTCTTGTGGGCTCTTTTCCTCCTGGGAAGAAGTTACAATTGAGTCTCCCTGCATTCAGTCTTGTTCAAAATGAAATGATCCATGGAGAATAATCTCCTGTTCATCCCCTCCCTCCACAGTATGGGATGCTACACAGTGAACAGGAGAGATTCTCTTCACAAAGCAGTTATTTTTTAGATTCCAATGCAGCCACTTGGTGAATTGGAGGTGACCTGTCATGCCTCACTGCTGTCTTGCACTTTGAAGTATAACTCACAAGAGATGGAGCTGAGTAGGAAAGTCCACAGCAAGACAGTCTCAGCATTCCTCACCTTCCTTTGGTTTTCTTCCTCTTCCTCTGCAAGCACTGCCAGCTGCATCTGTGGATGAAGGGCCTTCCCTTGCTTTATGCAATCCCTGGGAAACACAAAGATGACTGTCAAACAGAAAACACACTGTCATTCTCCCCTTCCAGCATGCTCAGATTCGTGCCTTCTACATCCAGAACCATGCACAACAACCTGTTGTTCATTTGTCTCCTATTTTTGTCAGGTTCCATTTACACTTATTGCCTTGCCACGTCTATCACTGGGGTGCGCCATGTTGCTCATTCTCAAGGACATGACAATAGACTAGGTCTCACCTCTCTGCTTGTTCCACCTGTCGTTGTTCAGCTAGTTTCTTCAGCTCCAAGACCACCTTTCCTTTTTCTCTCTGTTCATCCTCTGCTCTTTTTTGCAACAGCTCCTGCTGCTTATACTCATCTTCCTCCTAGGAAGAAAACAAAGATCAGCATCTTCTAAATCAGTGGGGGCCAACCTTTTCAGCAGGCGTGCAACAAGTTAGACCCATACTCTCCCCGACTGCCACTTCTATCTTTTTACTTTACCTGACTTACTGCTCAGCTTCCTGCTCCCTGCCCCATCTGCCATTGTTCTGTCTGTGCCCTCCTCAATCTGCCACGTCACAGAGAGGTTGCCCATGTCACTTGTGGCACCTGTACTGCAGGTTGGCCACCCCTGTTCTAAACTAGTCAGGGAGAGGGTATAATTAGGTTACCAAGTGCAAATCAAGGCCAAAGTCATTCCTTGGCCTTACTGCTACCTAGTCCAACTCATCAACATTATCTCTGATGTCTTGAACCTCAGTTATGTGGCCTTCTGCATGCTCCTGTATCTAATGGGGGCATCCTCGTGTCTCAAAATGACAGCAAAGACAATATGTAGCAATGAGTATCCCATCTCCAGAAATTCTTTAGCTCTCTCTTCTGCGACACTGTGCAATGCACAGGCCCTCCAATATCCCATTCCCTCCCTTATCGTCCCACAGGCATTGTCCTTCCAATATCCCATTCTGTCATCGTCTCCACAGGTATGAGCCCTGATCTTGCTCTCACCATCTGCAGCACTTTCTGCTTTCGGGCTTCAGCTTCTCCAGTCTTCTTGCCTAGTTTTTTCTTAGTCTTTTCTTCTACCACCTTCTCTTCTCGCACCTGAGAATCACGTACCAGATCTGAGCCTTGTCCAGCCTCGCTTGTGACATTAATACACTTATCCCATAGAGAAGAATCAGAATCATTTTGGGAGTCAGGTTCTATGGGGACAAGACTGCCCTTTTCTGAAAGCCCCAGAGGAGGGCACATACATTTTAACGTCAGACAGCATCCAGTAAAACAAGTCAAAATTTACACGAAGACAAGCCCATCACCATGACCAACTGTAAAAATTACTGTGTAATCCTCAGAAAGAAGCTATAGGCAGCCCTCTTGGTATGTAACCTTCATCAGGACAAGGTGAATCCTATGGAAATGTCTGGCTTCCATTTTGCCTCAGGTACTGTTGTCTACCAACTGAAAGAAGTGCAGTAGGAAAAGGATATGGCTACTGACAAGGTCCCAAATACAAGGTTCCTTTGCCTGAACTCCTTGACTTCGTAATAAAATAAGAATGAATGAGGGTTGTGAGAGAGTTTGGTTATTAAGGGTATGGGAACGGTATTTGCCTCCTAACAGCTCATTTTTGCAGATCTCTTAAGGACTGGTCCTTCAATATTCACCGAAGGCCCATCCACTAGAATCACTCCAGAGCATACATCCCATCAGGTTTGTTCCTTCAGTTCAAAGGATGAAGGAAATGGGTGGCTCAGAGTCAACCTTTTCCCAGAGTTTAAGACAGAATTACTAAGCTTGACCCTCAAACTTTGGCAGGCTATCACAAGACCCCAAATCACCCCACACCCTAACCTCGGAGCATTTGTTGATGTTATGATAAAGGGTGGCAGCACCTGCAGCAATTTCCTTGCTACATAAAATAACCAAATTAATCTTGCAGTGTTGTCCATCGTTTTTGTTTTCAGGAAGAGAGAGGTAGTTATCAAAGTAGTCTGAAAGCAGACAGAGACTTAAATCAGGCAGAAGACAGGGTACAATTGCTCTCTACAGACTGACTAAAATCAGAGCTGTATAACAAGAGCTTTCATGAGGCTGAGATCACTTCATCAGATGCTGTTTTCATGTCAGACAAAGTAGATTTTAACAGCGAACCTCAGAGAAACAGAATACATAATGGGCAACTGATAAGGTGCCTGTCATTCACCCTTAGCTCTTCCCACTAAAAACTGCTGCTTGCTACACTTGCTAAAAACAACAATCTTGCCAACTAAACTGGGCTATGAGTAAGGGCTCATGCTTTAGGATGGAACAAACTGAATGACACCACTTGGCAGGCGTAGCGCTAGAAAAAACCAATAGGGCTAGGGACACATAAACCAGTTTAAGTGATCAGAAACTGGTTTAACCTTGTAACAAAAACAGATGTTCAGTGTCCATAAACCAGTTTCACAATGGTCAAAACCAGTTTGAGATGCTACGTTCAGCCAGGTGTATCAGACTGGCTTCATAGATATTAGGGCTGGAAAGGACCTCGCGAAATCGAGTCCAGCCATAGGCAGGAAGCCTGCTGGGGTCAAATGATACCAGCAAGATAAGCATCCAAATATTTTTTGAATGAGTCTAGAGTAGGTGCTTGCACCACCTCTGGGGGGAGTCTGTTCCAGACCCTGGACACATGGACAGTAAAAAAGTTTTTCCTCGTGTCCAGTCTAAAAATGGGCCTTCCAGAAGTTTGTGGCCGTTAGACCTTGTTATCCCTTAGGAAGCCCTGGTGAACAACTGTTCTCCCAAATCCTGGTGCACCCCACTAATATACTTATAGGCTGCCACCAAGTCCCCCCCGAGCCTTCTCTTCTCCAGGCTGAAGAGTCCCATGTCCCTCAGCCTCTCCTCATAAGGCTTGCTTGGCCTTTGATCATGCGGGTGGCTCTCCTTTGGACTCTCGAGCTTATCCAAATCCCTCCTGAAGTAGGGGGCCCAAAACCGGACACAGTACTCTAGCTGCGGCCTCATTAAGACCGAGTCAAGACGGATGATCACATCTCTGGTTTTGCTTGAGATGCATTGGTGGATGCAGGCCAGAGTTTGTTTTGCTTTGCCAGCTATGGCATCGCATTGGTGGCTCATGTTCATCTTGTGGTCAATCAAGACCCACAATTCTCTTTTGGTCTTGGTGCTATGGAGCATAGCACTGCCAGGCCTGTAAGCATGATGCTGGTTTTTCTTCCCAAGGTGGAGCACCCTGTACTTCTCTACATTGAATGCCATCGGGTTTTGGTCTGCCCACCTTGCAAGCCTGTCCAGGTCAGCCTGTATCCCCAGCCTGTTCAGTATGACCACCTTCCCCCGTAGTTTAGTGTTGTCTGCGAACTTTGTCAGTCTGCATGATGCCTGAATTCAGATCATTAATGAAGATGTTGAAGAGTACTGGCCCAAGTACTGAGCCCTGAGGGACACCACTGGTCACCTTGCACCACGTTGATTTGCTCCTGTCAACTATTACTCTTTGGGTCCACCCCAGAGCCAGTTCCCCAGCTGCTGGACCGTGAGATGGTCAAGGCTGCAGTTCCCCAGCATGACCGTGAGGACATCATGGGAGACTAAGTCAAAGGCTTTCTTGAAATCGAGATACATGACATCAACCTAGTCTCCCTTGTCCAGGCAATGTGTCACATGGTCACAGGAGACGAAGTTGGTCAGGCAAGACCTTCCAGCAATGAAGCCATGTTGGCTGGCACTCAGAAGGTTGCTTTCCGTTAGCCTGTTGTTGATGAAACTTTTGATGATTTTCTTCAGGATCTTTCCAGGGATGGGACTGATTGGCCTGTAAATTCCCTGGATCTTCCTTTCCTCTCAAAGATTGAGACTATGTTGGTTCTTTTCCAGTACCTCTCCCCAGGGCCACGAACTCTCAAATATCTTCACCACAGGGCATATTATAGGATGTCTGCCAGCTCCTTCAGGACTCTTGGATGTATTCCATCCAGGCCCACAGATTTATGGATGTTGAGCCTCTCGAGGTGTTCTCTCACGTGATCTATGTTAATTGTGGGCCCATTTCCCGCATTCTGGATGCTTTGTGTCCTGTTTGACAGGGTGACCCGCTTGGGCAGGTGGAAGACCAATGCAAAGTAATCATTTAGGACATGGGGCAGCTGATGCCTGACACTCAGGAAAAGGCCCATTTGATTTAGCAGGGGTCCAATGTTGCCTTTGTTTTGTTTTCTCTCCGACTTCCCACATCTGAAGGAGTTTTTGTTGTCCTTGATTCCATGGCTAGCCTGAGTTCAGTTTCTGCCTTGGCTCTTCTGGTCCGCTCTCTACAGGTGCTGGTTAGTGCTGTGTCATAACCCAAGGATATGATTTTGTGTGCGCTTCGGCACTGCAGAATTATTTCCCGCCATGAGGAGCTTTCTTTGCACGGTGCAATTCCCAGTTGCAAAGAGAAAACCCCGGTGCAAAGGAGTTCCTGCCATTCGCATGAAAATTTGTTCCCCACTATTGGCCGTTTCTAAATTATTCCCACGTGGCAGCTAGCGATTGGCTTTCTCTCCGTATAAGAGGCTTGAGCGGTTTCTGCCCAAGTTGGAGGACTCCACAACCATCTGGAGGAGGAGAAGGAGGACTTCACATCTTGTGAAGAACTCTAAGCGCTGCGGAGCCTAACAAACCCAGCGTGTGCCTTAAGGAGGATACAGGGGCCTGATCAACCTCTAACCTCTCCCCGTCGCTGCCTAATCCCTTGACGTACCCTTCCCTGCGCGCTCGTTCCACAGAGCCTAGCAAACTTTGTGTGCGTGTATCCAGAGCTCTTTCCGAGTTATTTCAAGAGGCTCGAGTTTTTCTACGGGTCTTGTTCGTACGAGTTTTGTAACTGCAACTTAAGCGAAATTTTCTCCTGCCTGCACCGCGACCATTTACAGTGTAAGTAAAATAATCTTTAATCAACCGCTACGCGTCCGTGCCTAATTCTAGTCCGCTGGCCTGCATTCCCCGACCCATGTGCCAGGGCTGCTGGCCACAGCCCGCTGCGCGCCCCCGAAAGCCTTGGACCGCTCCCGGCCCTCACACTGTGTAGTCCTCTTTTGTGATGATTCCCATTTTCCATCTGGAGTAGGCTTCTCTTTTTAGTTTTTATAGACATTGGGGTTGGAAGGGACCTGACAAGATCATCGGGTCCAGGCCCCTGACAAAAGGGCAGGCAGTCAGTAGGGTGTCAAATGATCCCAGCAAGATAGGCAACCAAGTGTTTCTTAAAGGAATCCAGAGTAGGTGACTGCACCACCTCTGGGGGGAGTCTATTTCAGGCCCTGAGGACTCGGACAGTAAAGAAGTTTTTCCTTATGTCAAGCCTAAAATGGTCTTCCAGAAGTTTGTGACTGTTGGACCTAGTCTTCCCATGAGGTGCCCTGGTGAACAGACTGTCTCCGAGTTCCCAATGTACACCCCTTCTATACTTATAGGTTGCCACCAAGTCACCCCTGAGCCTATGCTTTTCCAGGCTGAAGAGTGCCATGTCTCTCAGCCTCTCCTCATAAGGCCTGCTCTCTTGTCCACTAATCATTCACATGGCTCTCCTCTGGACTCTCTTCGAGCTTCTCCACATCCTTTCTGAATTGCAGAGCCCAGAACTGGACACAGTAGTCCAGTTGTGGTCTCACCAAGACTGAATAAAGTGGGAGGATGACTTCCCAGGTCTTGTTTGAGATGCATTGGAAAATGCAGGGGAGAGTTTTATTTGCTTTACTGGCTGTGGCATCACATTGGTGGCTCATGCTCATCTTGGGGTCAATCATGACCCCCCAAGTCTCTTTTGGATGTGGTGCTAGCTAGTGTAGCATTGCCAAGCCTATAAGCGTGGTGTGGGTTCTCTCCCCCAAGGTGGAGCACCTTGCATTTCTCGGCATTGAATGCCATCAGGTTTTGATCTGCCCACCTTATAAGCCTGCTGAGGTGGGCCTGGATTGCCAGCCTATCCTCTGGGGTGGCTGCACTTCCCTATAGTTTGGTGTCATCAGCAAACTTAGCCAGTCTGCTTATAACACCTGAGTCCAGATAATTTATAAACACATTGAAGAGTACAAGTCTGAGAATGGAGTCCTGGGAGACACCACTGGTTACAAATGTGCCAAGTTGTTTTGGTTCCATCAACTATCACTCTCTGGGTCTGTCCACAGAGCCAGTTCCCCAGCCATCGGAATATGAAATTGTCTAGGCCGCAATTCCCCAATTTTTCAAATGAGAACATCATGGGACACCAGGTCAAAATCTGTCTTGAAGTCCAAGAATATGATATCCACCTCTTCTCCTTTGTCCAAGTGATGTGTCACCTGGTCATAGAAGAAAATCAGGTTGGTCAGACAAGATCTAACCACCATGAAGCAGTGTTGGCTCTCTCAGAATATTACCTTCTGTTAGGATATTGGTAATGGTTTCCTTAATGATTTTTGAGGGACTGAGGTCAAGCTAATTGGCCTGTAGTTCCCTGGATCTTCCCTTCTCCCTTTCTTGAAGACAGGCACCACACTGGCCATCTTCCAATTGTCAGGCACCTCGCCCGAGCATCACAAGTTCTCGAATATCCTCACCATAGTCTGTGCTATAATGTCAGCTAGTTCCTTTAGCATTCTTGGGTGCATTCCATCCGGGCTGGCTGATTTGTGGATGTCTAGCCTCTTAAGATGTCCCCTCACAAGATCAGTGGTAATGGTGGGCATCAGTTCACCCTTCTCCTGGTGATCCTGCCTCTTGTCAGGCAGAGTGATCCCACTGGGCTGATGGAAGACTGACACAAAGTAGTCATTAAGGAGACTGACTTTTTCCTGAGTGTCAGTTACCAGCTGCCCCACTTAATTAACTAAGGGTCCAATATTACCCTTGTTCTTTTTCTGACTTCCCACATATTTGAAGGAGGACTTTTTGTTGTCCTCAACTTGAGTGGCCAGTTTGAGCTCGGTTTCAGCCTTGGCTTTCCTAGTTTGATCCCTACAGGTGCGGACTAGTGCCAAGTATTCTTGCTTAGTGATGCTTCCCGTCTTCTAGCCTTTATAAGCTTTTTCTTTTTTTTTTTTTCCTTTTTCTTTCAGGTGCAGGAGGTCCTTGAGTTCCCTATTAAGCCAAGGGGTTGTCCATCCTTTTTGCTACTTTTTCTGTGGGTTGGCATGGACTTCCCTTGTGCTTCAAGGACTGCATCCTTGAGGAGAGATGATTCATCATGGACATTCCTCCCTGCCAGATTATGGTTTCTCAGGGCCTGAACAACAAGCCTTCTAGGCTTGTGGAAGTCAGCCTTTCCAAAGTTGAGAATTTCCATATTACTCACTGACTTGCCAGCTTTGCAGTGAATACAGAAAGTGATCAACTCGTGGTCACCGCCTCCCAGCTTCCCTTTGATTCTCAGATCGTCAACTAGATCATCCCTTTTGGCCACTACCAGGTCCAGCAGCAGTGTGCCCCTTGTCAGTCCATAGACTTCTTGAGACAAATAAAGCTAGTCAATGCTTGTGAGGAAGCATTGCAACCAACCAGATCTGGCCGAGTGCTTTTCCCATGAGATGTCTGGGTAGTTAGTCATCCATGACAACCATGGACCGAGAGCATGCAGCCTCAGCCAGTTCCCTGGAGAATTCATGGCCAAGTTCGTGCTCTTGGTTAGGAGGTCTGTAGTAGACTCTTACTGTTATTTCCCCCCTTATTCTTACTCAGAGGGTCTCAAGTCACCCTCTTTGGTTGCCAATCTCCAACTATAGGGAAGTGTATTGCTCTCTTTCACATAGACAGCTACACCTCCACCCTTCCTTGCAACACATTCTCTCCTGTACAAGGGATACCCATCTACGCCTGTGGTCCAGTCATAGGTGGAGTCTCACCAAGTCTCCATTATCCCTATGCGATCATAATCATTACTGTTTAGTAGTAGGGCCAGCTCCTCCTGTTTGTTGCCCAGGATCCTGGCATTTGTATAAAGGTAAGTGAGCTTGCCATCAGCAGTCCTAGGTTTCCCTGTACTCCTGGAAAAGCCCTGTCCCTAGGGTGGGGTAGGAGTCTGTTTCCTTGTACAGCCTGACCTGATGGTTTGGTGGCTGATGATTGTTGGGCTTGCACCAGAGAGTATCTGCCCTTCCCCCAGAGATCTTAGTTTAAAGCCCAGTCAAGCAGGTCAGCCATTCTGGCTGAGAAGAGCTTCTTCCCTGTGCGAGTGAGGTGGAGGCTATCCCTTCCCAGTAACTTACTGGCTCTCTCTCTGAAGTGTGAGCCTTGGCTGTAGAAGCCAAAACCTTCTTGATGGCACCAGCACCACAGTCTTCTATTTACTTCCTGAATTCTTCTTGCCCTCCTACGCCTATGACCCGTAATGGGAAGGATCAAGGAGAAAACCACCTGCGCTCCTAACCCTTTAAGCCCTGGTCCTGAAGTCCTGCAGTCAGTCATGACCCAGCTGGGATTGCTCCAAGCAGTGTCATTTGTGCCCACATGGATAAGGAACATGGGGTAGTGGTCAGGGGTGCTGGATAAGTTTTGGGATCCTCTCAGTGGCTGCAGTGATTGGGAGACCCCTGCGTGATCAGCTGCAGGGGGGACTAAGGCGGCACCAGTCGCCCATGCTATGCAACCGGTCAGATTTGGCCATGAGCTCTTCCCACGAGATGTCAGGGAGGTTGAAGTCACCCATGATGACCATGCATCAGAAGCATACAGCCTCAGCCAGTTTCCTATTGAATTCAAGATCCAGCTCTTCCTCTTGGTTGGGAGGTCTGTAATAGACTCCTACAATTATATCCCCTTCCTCATGCTCTGCCCATATTTTAACCATGAGGGTCTCAAGACACCCTCCTTGGTTGCTAAACTCAGTTTGAAGGAAAGTGTACTGCTTGTTCACGTAGAGTTACACCCTTCTTCCCAACACAGTCTTTCCTGTACAAGGTATAGCCTTCTGTACCTATTCACCAGTCGTAGGTAGAGTCCCACCAGGTCTCCATTATCTCTATGAGATTATAATCTTTGTCACTCAGAAGGGCCAGTTCCTCTTGCTTGTTTCCCAAACTCCTGGCATTTGTGTACAGGCAGACAAGCCTGCCATGGGAAGCTCTGGGCTTCCCTGCACACTGGAACGTGACCTTTCCTTGGGCTGCCTAACATGTTAATACTATGGTTGATGAGACTTGGGCTTGAACTGGTAGTTGACCTCCCACCACGCAGCAATCCTAGTTTAAAGCCTTGTTAAGTAGGTCAACTATTCTGGCCAAGAAAAGCTTCTTCCCTTTCAGGGTGAGGTAGAGGTCATCCCTTCCCAACAAGGTGCTGCCTCTCTCCCTGAAGCGTGGACCCTCGAAGAAGCCGAGCCCCTCACTATAGCACCATTGCCGGAGTTTTCTGTTAACCTCTTCGATACACTGTTCCCTCTGATGCCCAGGACCTGTGACCGGGAGGATCAAGGGAAAAAAACTACCTGCAACCCCTGACCTTTTGAGCCCAGCCCCCAGACCCATATAGTCACTCAAGACCCCAGCCAGGATCGTTCCAAGCCACGTCATTCGTGCCCACATTGATGAGGAGCATGGGGTGAAATGCAAGGGGGAAATGCAGGGTGCGACATCCCTCCCACCATTGCATAGGTAGTAGTTCAGGTTACTGCTGTTCTTCCTTAAAACTGCTTTGCAAAAAGCTGTTTAAGAAGAGCTTGAACTAATGAGAAAGGGGCTTTGTTTTCTTGATGGACTGATAAACTCTGTATTCTAATAAGCTCCCTGCTGACTTGCTGTCAGTGTGGAGACAGAGAGAAGTGTGAGAAATGACTTAGTCTGCAATGAATGCAGTGCCTGTTAGTTTACTGCAGATCGTATGAAGAAGCTGGGAAAGGATGATTGAAAAGCTCAGCATCATCAACAGATGCATGCAGTCCACACAAGCACTCCTCCCTACTTCCACGCCCCCTTTGGCCCCCAGCTAGCACTCTGAGGCAAGGTCTGGCAACGTTCCTACCCCTTGAGCAGCAAGCAAGGAGAAAAATCTGATGAGGACTGCTTCCTCCTTCCCCTCCAGGCACACTCCAGCTGGAGACTGTGCAAGTCAGGGTTGGGGTTTAAACCCTTCCTTAATCAGTGTCCTGCCAGGGCCTGGCCACCTGTTCCCCCCGCTCGGTACTGTGGAAGGAAAGGGAGGGCTCGCTCCAACATCCCCCCCACCAGCTTCTAGCCTGAGCCACTGCAGGCATGTGCCTGCATTTTCTGAATCGAAAGTGAATGTCTAGACTAACCTGCAACAATTGAATTGATTCAGGCTCAGGGTTTTTGAATATCTGTCCCTAGCCTAGAAGCAAGATACCACCACCAGCCTGGAATAACTTACTTGTACTAGAGAGAATGAAGTGCAGGAAAGGAATAACCAGGAATGTTGCAGGCTTAAAAGCACAGAGTATTACAGATCAAAAAGTAACGGCAGGGGGGCAGCAGGGGAAGAGGGCATCAGTGGGGATACATGTACAGTTGGAGCCATTTCCTAAAGGGGAAGTTAGAGATAGAGAGGTTTTGCTGCATTTGAATCAATTCTCACCTCATCCACACAGAACAATTAGAAAACAGCTCCTCTTTAGAAACAGTTGCAAATGAACATGGGTCCACACCCTTTAATACAGAGATGCCTCTTTTTGTTATCTGTGGGAACCATGAATGGATAAGGTCACTGGGATCACTTTTTGGACTTAACACACTTAACATGTTTTTAAACTCAGTAAAGCAACCCAGTTTCATTATAGTCAGATTCACTGCCCATTGCCCTGCTGCCAATGGGCCCATTTCCCAGCTAAACCTTTTTACCTTCTCATCAGTATGAAAGAGTTTCTGTTCCCTCCTCTTTTTCTTCTCCTCCTCTATCTGTTCCACTCGCTCCCGTGCCAGCAGTGCCTTTCTCAGACGCTCCTCACGCTTCCTGTGGGATGTGTGGGGCCACAATTAGCTTTCTCTGCACCAAGGACTGGCCCTCCTTACAGCTCTTGTTTCAGTGGCTGATCCACCAATCTCTCATATGTAGTGTAAGCCATCATGACTTGCATTGGCGTGGCCCACATTTGGTAAAGACTGGTCTAAATGCCCTAGATCCTAAATAGCCACTTTGTTCATCTCTAGCACTAGCTTGCTCTGTAGTCTCCGTAGCAGTGACTGCTTACCAGAAAAAGTGATGAGGACAAGTCACTTGTTTAGGCAAGGGCTTGAAGCCATTCTGAGCTTACTTAGTGAAGAAGAAATTCAAGGGACCGCTACTTACAGTTTCATTTCTTCCAATCGCCGTCTCTTCTCCTCCTCCACCTTCTGTTTTCTCTGTAGCTCAGCCTCTTCCTTCTTCCTCAGACTCTCCAGCCGCTGCCGTTCCTTCTCCTGAGGTGGATGGGGAATTCCAATTGTACTTGAGTGCTGGACCTTGTTTATTTCCCAGGCTACATGAGAATGGGCAGCCTGGAATAACCCACCAGGGGAGTGACATTTCTCCCATTCACTTGGGTGGGATGAATGCATTCAAGAAGGGTCATGCAATTTTAATGCAGTGCTAATTCAACTGTTCTATTTTCCAGGAGCAGCTCTCACCTTAGTCCCCAGATCCAAGCAGTAACAGTTACTGTAGATGATACAGTCACAAAGACACCCGTGATTGTGCAGCAGTACTCACCACAAGGCACCTAATGCTACCAACAAGTGACAGAGAGAAAGAGGTGGTTGCTTAGAGAAAGGCTTTATTCTTGAAGGTCCCCTATGTCTCCACCCTCCAAGGAGACGGATGACATCCTGTGATAAGGTGCTGGGGTGCTAAAAGTTCTTAAAATTGAACTCTTATCAGCCTAGAGCACAGAAAACAGACAAAGTCAATACTAAGACTCCCATAGTTTGAAGACTTCATACTTATGCTAGTTTCAGGTGAAGTCATTAAGACTTAAAGGCAGCTTTCAACCTCTACTTTTTATCATCTACTTCATTCTACACAGTGCCCGAAGCGCAAGTGTTCTTGACGTTATGGCTGCTTACAGATACGAAAACAAGACAACATCCCCCTGCCCAACTTCCCCCCCCCAAAACCCACAAAGCACCCCCTCTCCCCCCACAAAAAACCCAGCAGCTTACTGGAAGAGGAAGCACATCAGATTGATCCAGGTCACCAGTGTCTGCATAGATCAGGTGCCAAGGTGACTTAGATAAAGTGCCAAAAAGCTCCGCTGAAGTGCCCGATCTATACAGATGCTGGGTAAGCTGGGCCAAACTAACACAATGTCTCTTCTGGGCATGCGCTGTGCTTGGTGTGGGAGTGCACCAAACTGAAAATAAAGTTTTTTTTGTTTGTTTGTTTCCCCCTCGTCTGTAAGCAGCCTATATTCCTAGAACTGACCAGCCTAGTTTCAGAACAACATAAACAAAAAGTGTTTCTATAACTTCCTTAGGAAACTATTTTACACAAGATATCACTGTTCATGTCACCTTTCAGTGCTATTCAATGTGTAATTGTAACTATCCTATTTCATTCCTTTACTTTTAGGTGTGGCATACTCCACTTATATGCATGCTGAATAAATGCATAATTCCCTTATCTGCATAAATGCAACACTAGCCCTAATTTCTTGTTATAATACAAGCAACAGGAAAACATCTGTTGTCTGCAGATTGGGTAAGCATATAGGATCCTGTGGCTCCACTGCGTACTTCACAACATTATTGTGCACTAAACTGCATAATTTATTAAACTGTCTTACCATTTTCAAGTTTGCTCTGATATAGTAATGAGCCTCTATGTAGGTACAAAATACTTAGGGCTGCCTGTTCTTTACCCCTAATAAGAATAGTTTATGCTGGTTTCAGGTAAAATGCATAGCAGAGGCCAAAAAAAGCTATGCACTTACCTTGATTACACTACGTGTATTTATTTGGGCTGTCCTGTCCTACTCATCACCTTGTCTGAAAATCCTACACAAGCTGTCCAGGACACTGCTATGGCGAGGCCCGTCATCTGTCAGACTACACTTCCAAGGAAATATTAGCTCTGCATGCATGTCAGTGCCAGAGTCAGAGCCAGAGCCAGAGCTACCAGTGCCATTTGTGAGGTTAAAAAAAGAAAAAAAAAAAAGTGCCTATTGTAAGCCTACAGGCCCCGTGTTTGAGAAGTACCAGTACTTACAACAAAATCCCCCTATAAAAGCAGAACAGAGAAAAAGAATGATCGTTATCTTTGGGGAAAAAAAAAATCTAGATCCACACCGTTTTGGCTTAACTAGTCCCATCATAGTCAGCCAATTACAACAATCGCACTAAATCATGGGGCTCAGAACCAGATCCTGCACTGTTCCTTTCACCCCTGTCCAGCATCTTATGCAGTGCATGAACCCAATTCCCTCTGAAGAAGAGAAAAGGACAGGCTACCCACATTCCTGGGGGGTTGGCAAACATGATTTTTTTGACTGAATAGTGAGAGGAGCTAGAATGTTTTTTACCCGTCTAGGAAAGCTTCAAGAAATCAGTGTGCGAGATCCCAAGTCAGTCAAGGCATGCCAAGATTGGCACACTAGGGCAGAGTGAGCCACAAGGCCAAATTCATTACTCTTAGTGGGTACATTGGAAGTGCACTCGTGGAAGTGGCCGCCACAGAATTACTTATAAAATATCTGCATATTTGCAAATATGCAGATAGATCCTAACTTCACTACCCTACACAAACTCTCCAGACCACCATGTAAACAGCCACAGCCTCTAGAGTAACTACAAACAAAGCAAACTATCCTAACAAAAGGACTAGGTAGGAACAGGTTGCCAGAGGGATTTTTAGTTGAAGCCATGACTTTAGAAATCCTTTTGGGCTGTCAGTTTCCATACTGAGGAGAGAAACTGGCCAGCCACCCCTGTACGCGTTTCTTGTCCTGACTCTACCTATGCAAAACATTAATGCAGAACAAGGTACTGATTTACAGGATGCCTCACCCCAGAGGAAAGAGGAACTCAGCTTATATGGCCCAGTTTTTTCACTCCTCTATCAAAAAACAAGCACTGAAAAAATAGCATGTTTGATCCAAACTAGCACATTACAATGCAAAGGGTTCTTAGGCTCGATTCTTTACACCGTTTGTTTCTTAAAACAGCTTAATTAGTTGTGTAAGGCAGCTTTTCCAAGCAGATGATCCTGCCCACCACCCTCACACACAGGTGCTGCTTTCCCCCACACCTATCCCTGATAGAACGGGCCTCTTCTCATCACCTTCGGATCAGGTCGGGTGGGAGTATTGCGTCTGATAAGGTTTTTCATGATACTATTGCGCCCTACAGACTCTGGGGTTGCGAGCAGCTGGTTCTTCTGCACTGTCTGTAGGAAGCTTTTCAATGGACGGATGACCTAAGAGGACAGCAAAGGGGAATATCAGCAGATGATAGGGAAGAGAAACAAGTAAGGGTCACATGGAGCCATGGCACTTACCTTGCTAGCTGCGGAGGAAGAAAGAATAGGAGAATGCGTAATCTTGTCATTTGAAGGTGAGAAGTCACTGTCTACATGCTGCTGCCCATCATGCAGGTTATCCACTGCGTGCTTATAACTGCGTGTTCTGAAAGAGTTAGTACAGGGTGTATTATTTGCACTGATACACTACAGGAAATGAATTCTGGCCTGCTGCAAAAGCCAGGCAGTGTATCTCATGACCCTTCCTCCCTATGCACCCTCACTGCTGTACTGTGTTCTTTATGAATTGGCTTTGGTTGCCCTTTCTTACACAAGGGTGGCATCAGCAGCTGAGGAAGCAAGCCAGATTGTCCAGATGTTTTCTAAGATGACAGTTTTAGCAGCACTCTATGAAATTGCTTATGGCCATCCTTCACACACTGCTGAGCACCACTTAGAGCAGGGGTGGTCAGCAATCCATGATGCAAGAGACTTGGGCAGTCTGTGCATGTGGTAAATGGCAGATTGTAGAGGGAGCAGCGAACACAGCAACAGATCAAGCAGGGGAAGGGGATCAGAGTGGCACTCAGTGAGGGTGCAGGGCTTACCCTGTGGCCAAGGACTTACCTCAGCTCCTGATGACTTGGAGGTTATGAACACAAATACCTGCAACCTTCTATCATCATCACCCCTATCAAATGGGAATTTGACAAGGCAGCTAAGCAAGTTGCTAAGTCAAAGGTGGTTGTAGTCATGTCTATGCCTACCTCACTTGGCCATGAGGTCTTTCAAGAGGTCCCATTTTTTTAAAAATCTGACAATGGTTGACAACCACCTAAATGCTGGGAGATTTCACCAAAGAGAGTTTTTGAAACTACAAGATGAAGGCAGAGCTGCTTTAAACCAAGTTGTTAGAGAGAACTTGTAATACATTCCAGATCACCATTACTACATTCCTATGCTCCCAAGCACTCTAGGGCAAGGAAGGTAATATACCGTATCTGTGGGGACTCCTCCTGGGGCTTGGCACTCTGGAACTGTTCCTTGCTTTTGTTGCTCTGGGGTTTTTCAGTCTTATTTGAGCAGCTCTCTGTAAAGAAATCTATCATTAGTTCCACTGAAAGATGTCCTGCAGCATAAGTCTGGTGTCAGGGGCTCTCGTCTTCATTGCTCATTCAAGTTAAGCCTTGGCAGCACAGAGCAGATGGCAACTCCTAAAAGCTAGGGTTGTGTGCAGCCTTTTAGTACATAAGTGGAAACACCATGTGGTACAGAAACAAAACTGTTAATGTAACGTCACAAAGAGTATGGATCTTTTAGTATCTTAGAAATCAACATGCCATCTACCTCATGAAGGGAACTCTGGGTACTCCATTCCTCAGAAAAGAGGACAACATTATTCTCCAACCACCAACTCCTATACGATTACACATTTCCAGTAGAGTAAAATCTATACCTCATAGCTCCTCACTCCAAAATAGAGAGCTAGGAGGAAGGAGTGGCTGTATCCCCTCCTCAGTTGGTTCCAAGCAAGATGTTATTAGTGTTTTAGAGCAAAACTGACAAGTCAAATATTCAACTGGACACTGAAGCAAAACTGAAGCTTTAAAATATGATGTTTTCTATTAAGTTCTCATATGCCAGTTCTTCAGACTGAAGGCTGGTTAGCAACAACTGTACAAAAGCCATCTTGTTTGGAAGTAGCATGCTGGACCTTTCATGAAGGCCCAACTATCACATCTTTGGCAAATGACTACCTGCTCATCTCCTCTCCACCAGTCCCTCACTTCCCAGTTACCAAAGCTTGATGCAAACAGTAGCATTTGTGTCAGAAAGCCACCTTTGTCTCTCCCCAAAGTCTCTGCCCTGTGACAATTTGATAAGGATGGGCCCAGCAGAGAGAGACATCCTTACCCTCTCTCTTTAGGTAACCTGAACTGGATACATTCCTGAGGGAGGGGGGAAAACCTGCTCTCTCGGCCTACGTGACTAGCATCACATACCTGGGTAAGGGGCTTCCTTCCTGGTGGGATAGAGTCTGCCAGGAAACTAGTGATGTACTTCAAATTGGTTGGCTCACAGCCAACAGGTGCTGGCTTCCATTGGACCAGGTAAATGAGGTCACAAGGGCTATATAAGTTAAGGACTGCCCAGAAGGAGGGAGCAGCAGCCATGAGGGATACTCAGGAGCAAAGAAGAGCGGCACCATCGGAAACTTGCTCTCTCTCTCTCAAAACTCATGATCAAGGAACTGCCTGCCTCCAGAGGGATTCACCATCTGCCTCTGGATGATACTTGTGAGTAAGCTACCCGAGATCTAACTAGATATATAGCTTGCAGTAACTCAGATGCAAGATCAAAGGCTACCCCAGCCACAGGAGTTTGCTCTATGGGATTTCTCTGATATTGCTCTACCCTGTACCCTATTCTAACCCTACCCTCTGTAACCAATAAAGTTCTCCTTTGTGACTAGCATAGGAGACTTATTGAGGGGTGGGTTTAATTATGTCCAGGAGGCCCCTTGGGTCAGCAGACTAAGGGAGACTATCCTTTTTGGCCCCCGACTTGGGGAAGTGCCCCAAGTTCTTGTATTGGGTCAAGTACCCGTAGGACTATTAGGCCTGTGTTTCCCTGAGGACACAGGCCCCAGACAGTCCCTTCTCAGGGTGGTGGCAGCACATGTTACCCCCAGACTCGAAAGGGGGTCTGCCAGGGCTCAGGCGCCCCTGGAGAGACATGGAGTCCGGAAGGTGGACGGGCACGGTGAGGTGGGAGGCTCAACGCAGGAGCTCCCCCTACTGGCCCACCACAGCATTTACCTTCACTGTTCCCTGCCTGTTGCTCTTCCCAAAAGGGGTTCTTTGGCCGAGGCGATTGCACTGCAACAGGACTGCTATTTAGTACACTTTCATTTGCAGTAAAGAAGGGTTTCTGCTGGTTTTCAGGAGTCTGTGGGAGAAGGAAACAAGTTTTGGCAAAACTATTCCACAAAACTACGGCTGCAACAAATATGCTATTCTGGAAAGGAGGCAAAGCCTGTTACTCCGCATTTGCTTTGCTGTGCAGCTAACAAGCCAGAGAAAGTTCCTTTTCCTTGACAATGGCTGCTGGAAATATGCATAAGCCAAAGCACACTCACCATTTAATCTACCCGATGCCTGCTCACAGAACAGACAGGCCCAACAGGGGAGGATTCTCCCCCCCACCCCCACACACACAGCCAGATGCAGAGGGATCATATAGGCATTAAGGCTCAGTAGCAACCCCTCCCCATGACACCTTAAGAACAACTGTATGTTCAAACTACATGATTCTACTGTACAGAAAAGCGTGAAGTGAGAGTGCAAGGCAAATTAAGAAACCCAGAAAAATGGCTGGAGGATGCTGCAATACCAGAGCCACTGCCAGCTCTTCCTTCGCCTGCACCTGTGAAGTGTCTGTCCAGGCAGACTGCAGCATGCAGGTTCCTTCTAGTGAGTCAGGTGAGAGAGTGCCTGCAATGCGAGTGGTGCTTCCTTGTGGTGTTCCTCAGGGAACAAGCCAGAGAGCTAAAGGAGTAGGTGGAAAGGCTCCAGAGCATTCTCAGCCACAAGGAATTCATCAATTCAGTACTGGAGACCTCTGGGAGTGCAGAGGAAGAACTGCCAGAGGCAGCACTAGAAAAGGAAGAAGACATGGACTCCTGGAAGGTAGAAGCTGGAAGACTGACCTCGCACAGCAAACAGAAGTCTTCATCTCCACATGCACTAGACAAGAGATATGGAGCCCTAGCAACAGAGAAGGAGGAGGAGGAGGAGAAGAACGTTCCATTGGTGAAAGAGGCTAGAACAGATATCCCCAAGGTTGGGAGGATCGAGACCACTGCCACTAAGAGGAACCAATGGGTTGTGGTGGTTGGAGACATATTTGCCAACCTGACCTATTGTCTAGGGGGGGTCTGCTGCTTGCCCAGACACAGGATCCAAGATGTCATAGAAGGATTACCAAGACTCATTCAGCCCTCTGACTACTACCCCATGCTGTTCACTCAATGTGGGCACTGCCAGGGGTGACCCTGAGAAGATCAAGTAACTACAGGGTTCTGAATACAAAGGTGAAGGGAACAGGGACTCGGGTGTTCTCCTAGATCCTTCCAGTCAAGCAGAAGGGCCAGCACAGGAGCAGATGCATCCTAAAGAACAATTCGCAGTTGCTCAGACGGTGCGTCACCAACAGGACCTTGGCTTCTTCAACCATGGGATATTGTTCCAAGAAGAAAGATTGCTAGGAAGAGACGGGATCCACCTTTTTTTGAATGTCCAGTTTTGGGTTCCACACTGAAAAAAGGAAGTCTACAAATTGGAGAGTCCAGCAGAAGGCAATGAAAATAGTTAGGGGGCTGGGGCACATAACTGCCGAGGAGAGGCTGAGGGAATTAGGGTTATTTAGTCCGCAGAAGAGAAGACTAAGCATGCCTACATGTGCATCTATGTATTACACATGCATTCATGTACTTAATGTGCATTAGATTTAGTACCTACCAATGTGAGGTACTAAATTAATGCTCATGCTGCCCTAATGTGCAGTAGTGCAAGCACATGCTTTTTAGGTGGTGCTTCACGCGCAGTAGCCTATTTTCATGTAATAGCATGGTTTTCTAAGTGCCACTTTAATGCATAGTAAAATAGGCTACTGCACATTAACATGAATGTGTAGATGTGGTCACTGATGGTGGATTTAATAACAGCTTTCAAGTACCTGAAGGGTGGTTCAAAAGAAGATGGAGCTAGACTGTTCTCAGTGACAGCAGATGACAGAACTAGGAGCAATGGTCTCAAGTTGCTGTAAGGGAAGTTTAGGTTAGATATCAAGTAAAAAAATCACAACAGTATTAAGTCATAGAAAGTTAGGGTTGGAAGGGACCTCAGGAGGTCATCTAATTCAACCTCCTTCTCAAAGCAGGACCATCCCCAACTAGATCAGTCCAGCCAAGGCTTTGTATAGCCAGGTCTTAAAAACCTCCAAGGATGGAGCTTCCACCACCTCTCGGGGTAACCTGTTCCAGTGTTTTATTACCCTCCCAGTGAGAAAATTCTTCCTAATATCCAAGCTAAACCTCCCTTCCTGCAACTTGAGACCACTGTTCCTTGTTCTATCATCTGCCACCACTGAGAACAGTCCAGCTCCATCCTCTTTGCAATTGCCCTTCAGGTAGTTGAAGGCTGCTAGTAAGTCCTCTCAGTTTCCTCTTCTCTAGACTAAATAAGCCCAGTTCCCTCAGTCTTTCCTCATAAGTCACATCCCACAGCCCCCCCCCACCATTTTTGTCACCCTCTGCTGAACTCTCTCTAATTTGCCAACATCCTTTCTGTAGTGGGGGGCCCAAAACTGTCCAGAGTACTCCAGCTGTGGCCTCACCAGTGCTGAATAGAGGGGAATAACCACTTCCCTTGACCTACTGGCAACACACCTACCAAAGCAGCTCAGGTTGCCGTTAGCCTTCTTGGTAACAAGGGCGCACTGTTAGCTCATTTGGCTTATTGTCCATGGTAACTCCCAGGTCCTTTTTTGCAGAGCTGCTGCCCAGCCAGTCAGCCTCCAGCCTATACTGATGCATGGCATTGTTCCATTCTAAGTGTAGGACTTTGCACTTGTCCTTGTTGAACCACATGAGATTCCTTTTGGCCCAATCCTGCAATTTGTCTAGGTCACTCAAGCCTAGCCCTACCCTCCAGTATATCTATTACTTCCCCAAGCTTGGTGTCATAGGCACACTTGCTGAGGGTGCACTGTGCCATCTTCCAGGTTGTCAATGAAGACATTGAACAAAACCGGCCACAAGACTAACCCCTGGGGCACTCCACTTGATACTGGCTGTCAACTAGACATCAAGCCATTAATTATTACTCTGAACCCAATGCTCCAGCTAATTTTCTATCCACCTTACAGTCCATTCATCCAGCCCACACTTTCTTAGCTTGCCTACAAGAACATTGTGGGAGACTGCATCAAATGCCTTACTAAAAATCAAGGTACACCACACCCACCGACCTGTCTCCCCACATCCAAAGAGCAAGTCATCTCATCATAGAAGGCAATCAGGTTGGCCAGGCATAACTTGCCCTTGGTGAATCCATGCTGACTGTTCCTAATCACCTTCTCCTCAGAGTGCTTCGAAATGGGTTCCTTGAGGACCTGCTCCATGATTTTTCCAGGGACTGGGGTGAGGCTGATTGGGCTGTAGTTCCCTGGATCCTCCTTTTCTCCTTTCTTAAATATGAACACTATGTTATCCCTTTTCCAATCATCTGGGACCTCTCATGATCAACATGAGTTTTCACAGGATGATGGCCAGTAGCTCTGCAATTGTTTCAGCCAATTCCCTCAGCACCTTTGGGTGCATCCCATCTGGCCCTATAGACTTGTACATGTCCAGCTTTTCTAAGTGGTCCCTAACCTGTTCTTTCACCACTAAGGGCTGCTCACCTTTTCCCCAAAATGTGCTGCCCAGTGCAATAGTCTGGGAGCTGCATTCATGTACTGTGAATGCCTGTGGATACAGGCAAAAAAAGGCATTGAGCACTTCAGCCTTTTCTGCATCTTCCATCACAAGATTGCCTCCCTCATTCAGTAAGGGACTCGTGCTTTCGCTGATCCTCCTCTTGCTACCAACATACTTGCAGAAACCCTTCTTGTTACCCTTCACATCCCTTGCTAGCTGCAGCTCCAATTGCACTTTGGCCTTCCTGACTTCATCCCTGCATGCCTGAGCACTGCTCTTATATTCTTCCCTAATTATCATAAATGATAAAGCACTGGAACAGTTTATCCAGAGAGGTGGTGGAATCTCTATCCTTGGAGACTTAAGACCCAGCTAGACAAAGCCTTGGCTAGGATGAGTAGTTAGAGCTGGTCCTGATTTAAAACAGGGGGTTGGACTAGATGACCTCCTGAGATCCCTTCCAACTCCAATTTCCTATGATTCAAGTGACTCCAAAGAGCCACTCTCATTATCTGGATACAGTTCTTTCCCAGTTCCCTCCACCTAAAGAGGGCACCCTGAATGTTTCCATATCTTAAAACCAACCAACCAAACAAACAACTAATAAACCCAAGTCAAATTTGTAGGAACATTTTATATGAAATTATATAAATCAGAAGAGGCTATCAATGTACAGTGGAAACAACAGCCAAGATGATGCTAACTTGGGAAGTGAAACTGAAGAGTACAGATGATACCCATTATTTGTTTTATTGTATTTGTGTTATGGTGTGGTTCCTAGGCCCTTCCTTCATTTAAGAGGTATCACACAATTACCTGGTTAACTGTGCAATTACCTTAAGAGCAGCTACATGTGCAAAATACTCATCACACAATAAAAAGCTTCAACCAGCTATAAAGTTAAACTTAAAACAGTGTGTGCTACCTTTATAGCTGGTTGCTATTGAGTTTAGATCGTCAGGTATAGCAGGGTGTTTCCTGAGTCTGGAAGCCCAGTCAACTGTGAGCTCCCAGCCCCAGGGATGCACCTTGCCCAGCTAGAGCTGCAAGTCCTTCAACTGCTGTGGATTCTCAGCCCCAGCAGCTACGGACACTGGTTCTCAGCAACACCCCAACAACTGCCAGGACCCAGAGTGGCAGATGCTGGTTCTTACAGCATGCTTCCCAATGTCAGGAACCAGCTAGGTCCTGGTAGCCACAGGTAGTGGCTACTGTCTCTCAGCCCCAGGGGTATGTGAAACCCCCAGAGTAGGGAAATTGCTACTGTGGCAACCTCCCCGTCCCAGGGGTTTCATGCACCCCTGGCATGGGGAGCTTGCAGCAGCAGCATCTCTTAGCCATGAGGGATGCACAGGGTGCCCACCATGGCTAGGAGCCCCCTCAGCCAAGGGGGCTGCCAGCCTCAAGAGCTTGCTTCTTGCTAGTACAGGGGGATCCCGGGATTGGGCTCCCCCTGCATCAGCAATAAGGTGCAATGGGATCTAATGTGTAATCCTACAATCGCGCCCCCTGCCATGCACATATGGCACGACAGGAGGCGTGACTGTGTGAATCGTACTTTAGACTGCATTGTGCATGTGTAGAGGGGTCCCTAGATACAGAAACAGAGTCCCTCTTCCTTTCGGCAAGAATCCTGCCCTCAGGAAATAAACACAAATTAAAGAATACAGCAGGCTAAGAAATCATTGGGGATCCTGGTTTTCTGTTAAAAAAATCCAAAATTCTCTGATCACAACATATATGTGCACACAAACACACACAAGCCAATTGCCCATCAGAAATGACTGGGACACACACGACGGAGCACCACCACCTTGTGCCACTGCTGTTTCCCAGGAGTGGGGGGCGGGGGAAGCTTGCCCTGCTGTCCCCATTAGCCAGCACCCCATGCCACCACCACCTGCAGAAAGCAGGGCTGGGAGGGTGGGGGGCGAGGCTAGTGGTGCTGGCCTCGCCTCCCCACTCCGTCATGGTGGTGCTCCACAACGCCACTGCCCCCTGTCCAAAACACTCTTGGAGCACTCTGACCGGTTGTCTGAAACCAATCAGAGTGAAAATAAAGCGTTACAGAGAGACAGAAAAAGACTAAGGCTTTTATAATATTACAATATATATGTATGCATTAGTTGAACACATTTTATTGATATATTTACAATTTTAAAGCAATTTGGAAGCCTACCAGTGCCTCAATCTTTATAATAAAAGAAATCCTAAATACCTACATATTTTGGCATTTGATTTTGGTTTCATCATGGGGG